GAGGGGGGACAGGAGGGGGACAAGGGGGGACCCCTGCCCCGACCCGTCCTGCTCCCAAATCCATTCCCTGCCCTCTTTGCCCCCCTTCGTTCCCTTCCCATTCCCCTGTCTCCCCTCATTGTCCGTGCTCCCTCTTGCCCTATTCCCCCCTTTTCCCCCCTGGACGAGGGGGGACAGGAGGGGGACAAGGGGGGACCCCTGCCCCGACCCGTCCTGCTCCCAAATCCATTCCCTGCCCTCTTTGCCCCCCTTCGTTCCCTTCCCATTCCCCTGTCTCCCCTCATTGTCCGTGCTCCCTCTTGCCCTATTCCCCCTTTTTCCCCCCTTTTTCCCCCTTTTCCCCCCTTTCTCCACCCTTTTCCCCTCTTTTCCCCTCTTTTTCCCCCTTTCTCCCCACCTTTTCTCCCCTTTTTTCCCCCTTTTCCTCAATTCCCCCATTTTCCCCCTTTCCCCTGCTTTGTCCTCTTCCCATTCCCCTGTCTCCCCTCATTGCCCCCTGTTCCCTCTTGCCCTATTCCCCCGTTTTTCCCCCCTTTTTCCCATCCCATCCCATCCTGTGCATCCCACCCCATGCCATCCCATCCTGTGCATGCCATCCCGTGCATCCCATCCCACCCCGTGCATCCCATCCCATCCCATCCCATTGATCCCATCCCATTGATCCCATTGATCCTGTCCCATCTCATCCTGTGCATCCCATCCCATTCCACTGATCCCATCCCATCCTGTGCATCCCATTGATCCCATTGATTCCATCCCACCCCATTGATCCCATTGATCCCATCCCACTAATTCCATCCCATTGATCCCACCCCACTGATTCCATTGACCCCATCCCACTGATCCCATTGATCCCATTGACCCCATCCCACTGATCCCATTGATCCCACCCCACTGATCCCACCCCATCCCATTGATCCCACTGATCCCACTCCACTGATCCCATTGATCCCATCCCATCAATCCCATCCCACTGATCCCACTGATCCCATTGACCCCACCCCACTGATCCCACTGATCCCATTGATCCCATCCCACCCCATCCCATCCCCTCGACGCCCCCTCCCCGCTGACCCCGCTGTCGCTCTGCAGAGCGGATGGAGCAGCACGACCGTCAGATCGCGGCGCTGCTGGAGGACAAGGTCGGGATTTTTGCCGACATGCTGGCGCTGGGCAGCGGCTGCTCCGAGCCCCCCCCGGCCCCCCGCGGGACCCCCTTCCCTGGGGACCCCGCCCGGGGCCCCCGCGGGGACGTGCTGCTGCACGACGCCATCCGGGAAGGTACGGGAGCTGCGGGGTGGGCAGGGGAGGTGGGATCTCCATCGGGGGTGGGATGGAAACTTCTGGATGCACCAGGATGTTCTGGGAGGGGATGGAAACTTCTGGATGCACCAGGATGTTCTGGGATGCTCCAGGATGGGGAGATCCAGGGTGGGCAGGGGAGGTGGGATCTCCATCGGGGGTGGGATGGAAACTTCTGGATGCACCAGGGTGTTCTGGGGTGGGATGGAAACTTCTGGATGCCCCAGGGTGTTCTGGGAGGGGATGGAAACTTCTGGATGCCCCAGGGTGTTCTGGGATGCTCCAGGATGGGGAGATCCAGGGTGGGCAGGGGAGGTGGGATCTCCATCGGGGGTGGGATGGAAACTTCTGGATGCACCAGGATGTTCTGGGAAGGGATGGAAACTTCTGGATGCACCAGGGTGTTCTGGGAGGGGATGGAAACTTCTGGACACCCCAGGATGCTCTGGGACGCTCCAGGATGGGGAAACTGAGGCATGGGAGGGGCTCACGCTGCCCTTCCCCCACAGTGGAGTGCCTGAAGGAGATTTTCACGGGATGCAGCCGGGACCGGGACCAGAACCAGAACAACCCCCCCGAGGCCGAGAGCTGCCCCAGCCCCAGTGCCAGCAGTAAGGGGGGGACACGGGGAGGGGTCTCTGGGTTTGGGGGGGGACCCCCGGGACCCCCCTGGGGCTCAGCCAGCCTTCCCCTGCAGACGGTGACTCCGGCAGCATCAACGGCTCCTTGGAATTCCGGGCGGATCCGGACGCTGGGCAGAGGGTGAGTTGGGGAGGGGGCGCAGGGGGGGACACAACTGGGGACCCCCAGCCCGCGGTGGGACCCTCGGTGTCACCACACTCTCTCCACAGGACGGGAATGGGAACCAGGTCCCGCCGAGGGGATCCCAGGAGGTGAGGAAGGGGTTTTGGGACCCCCGGGGTGCCTCAGTGTGTCCCCCCCCTCGATGTGGCACTTGGGGTTCACATCCCCCCCCCCACCCCCTTGGAGCCTGGTTCGTCAGAAGAAAATTGTTGTTCTCCCCTAATGACTTCATTGTAAAACTTTGTTAGGTTTGTATTCACATTCCCATCTCAAAATGAAGGTAGGGCATATAGGCAGGAACTCCCTGTTCTTTCAGGGACGTGTCACCACACTCTCTCCACAGGACGGGAATGGGAACCAGGTCCCGCCGAGGGGATCCCAGGAGGTGAGGAAGGGGTTTTGGGACCCCTGGGGTGCCTCAGTGTGTGCCCACCTCGATGTGGCACTTGGGGTTCACCCTAACCCTAACCCCCTCCCCAAAATCTTGTCCCCCACAGGAGATCAACCAGCGCCTGGTGAACCTCTACGGGCTCCTGCTGCGGCTCCAGGTGGGACAGGGGGACAGGAGGGGGGACAGGAGGGGTCCCCCTTTCCCCCGCTCCCTAACCCCTCTCCCCGCAGCTCCACCTGTCTCACCAGGAGGTTCTGCTGGAGCTGCCGCTGCCGGAGGGGCTGCAGCGGCCGCGGCCGCGCCGGGGCTCGCAGCCGGCCGTGCCGGTGACCGGAGCGGCGGAAGCGGCTCCCGGTGCGGAGCTGGCGCTGCTGCAGCGGCAGCACGGGCTGCTGCAGGAGGAGCTGAGCCGCTGCCGCCAGCTCTGCCAGGAGCGGGCGCAGGAGGCGGCGGCGCTGGAGTCGCGGCTGCGGGACAGCGAACGGGAGCGCTCCCGGTTGGAGCGGGAGCTGCAGGAGGCGCGGGGGGCACCGGCGGGGCCGCGGGGACGGAGGGCGGCGGAGCCCCGGCGGAGGAGCCTCCCGGCGGGGGATGCGCTGTACCTGAGCTTCACCCCGCCGCAGGTGAGAGCGGGGGCACCGGGGGAACCGGGAATCGGGGGTACCGGGGGAATTGGGAACAGGGGGAACCGGGAATCGGGGGAACCGGGGGGATTGGGAACAGGGGGAACCGGGAATCG